AGTCAGTCAGACAAAAGAAGTACCGTATAAACTTTCGTGTGCATAGAAGTAAAAAGTTATTATTTGAACAAAATTAACAAAAATTAGGAATCATTCTTATATAATATAGGTAGGTACTTAACATTTAATTTAATTATCGTATAGTTCCATTAATTCAGATTCATTGGAATCTTGTGTAGATGCCGGTGATGGGTTTTTGTAGCTAGACGTCTTTGGTGGTCGTGACGCAGTGCAATAACCTCGATTGTAAGTCGAAAAGGTTGCAGGTGGAAACGAAGATGTTGAAGGGTCTGTTGCGGTATATCCTGTTTCTCCAAAATAATCTGTCTGTCCACGTTGTGTCATTCCTGTTTGGTAATGACATTGTGTCGAAGGTTGGTAGTCGGAACGAGCAGCTGCAGGTTTAAGACACAGAGCTTGTTGAGCTTGAAGTACTTTCATTAATTCAATTTTTGTTTGAAGTCTGTTTTCCTCTGGTACTTTAAGAAGCTCTTTGTGTAAGGACAAACAAAATAGTTTGTCATCATCTGACTCCATTTGGTTTGATGTCTGTGGCTGATTTCCAGATGCTAAATTTGTTTTTATGATGGAGAGAAATTCTTCGTCGGCCGCATTTAGGTTTTTCTTCTTTTTCGCCTGACTACGTGGAGGTCTCATTACATCTTCCCCATCGCCCGAAAACTCTTGTTCTTCAGCTGCAATAGACGCGGTGTTGATGTTGCTCTCAGTTCTTTTATTCCGTGTCGATCTTTCGAGGAACATCAAACGTTCAAAATAAATATATTTGGCTTTGCCGGAGGCTCCTGATCCAGACGGTGTGGTTTTCTTCTTCTTCATTTCTCTTACAAAGCCATCACGCAACCCTTTCCACTTCTTCTGCAATAAAGTACCTGTAAACAATAAAAAGATTAGAATAAAATAATAATTCTTATGTAACTTTCTTTTCAGATATTTGGCTACAGGATGTTATTTTGCGGACCTGCATTATGCCTACAGATTAGGAAAGTCTACAGTTATCGAAATAGTACAGAAAACCTGTTACGTCATATGGAACAAACTGCAAAATATAGTAATGAGAGAACCAACGAAGGCTGAATGGAAAGAAATTTCGAAACAATTTCAAAAATACACAAATTTTCCAAATTGCATCGGCGCCATTGACGGCAAGCACATCCGTATTATAAAACCTAATGATTCTGGATCTCTTTTTTATAACTATAAGAGTTACTTTTCAACTGTTTTGTTGGCCGTATGCGATGCAAATTATTGTTTTATTGCAGTGGACATAGGCGCATATGGAAAAAGTAATGACTCCACAATTTTTAGAGACTCTATTTTATATAAAAAACTTGTCGAGAAAACTTTAGATATCCCAGATCCAAAGCCAATATCGCAAACAGATACAACCCCCTTACCTCATGTCATAGTAGGAGATGAGGCGTTTAGTCTGTCTGAAAATATAATGCGCCCTTATTGCGGTAAATCTCTAACAACTAAAAAAAGAATTTTCAACTATCGCTTATCCAGAGCCCGGCGTTACATTGAATGTTGCTTTGGCATCTTAGTAAATAAATGGAGAATATTTCATAGACCGTTGAATGTAGACATAGAATTTGCAGAAAATATCATTAAGGCTTGTTGTGTTCTCCATAACTACGTAAGGTTAAGGGATGGCTACAGGTATGATCACACTCTTTACGAAACATCTCTGATTAATTTGAACACTGAGGCAGTGAGGCCTAATGCGAGATCATTGAATACAAGAGATAGATTTGCTGATTATTTTGTTAACGAAGACAAACTCCCTTGGCAAGATAAAATGATATAGTTTATTAATGTAAAATATGTGCAAGGAATATTATTATTTAATAAAATATTATTTACTTACCTAAAGTTTTTTTTTTCTCCTCGGAATCACCAGCTTCACAAAAAATTTCTACTATTTCTTCCCAGTTCCTACGTTTAATGATTCTATTAGAATAATCTGATGATTCCATATCCCATATAGCTACCCTTTTCTCAATTTCGTCAATAAAAAGTTCCGTGTCAAAGTTATCACGCTCCATTTTGAACCAAATACGTCCACTCGCCACGGACACGCGCGTAGTACTGGACGCAGCAATGGCGCCGGAGTATCTCGACTCGCGCGGCGCACGCGCGTAAAACGAGCGAGTCGAGAGTCCCGCTCATTGCAAGCGTTTTACGCGCGTGTGAGGTAACGCGCGAGAGCATCTGGACGGCATGTATGTAGCTCTAGTATCTCGAGAACGCGCGAGTGCCTACGCGCGAGTGGATACGCGCGTAAAACGCGCTTTCTGGACAGGCTCTAAGATGAATTGTCTCACGTCTTATTATTGACTCTCTTTAACCTTCAGACCGGAACATAGTAATACATGCACTGATCTTTGGCAGCAGCAATAAGTGAGAGAATGGTGCCTACTCAAACGGACTCGCAGGCAAAGAGAAGTCTTACTTTCTCCGTCTTTCATTTCGCCAACTATTTACTATCAATTTATAAAGAGAGGTTATTTTGTAACGTGTCATTTTGAAACATCGATAATAGAAATTTATTGTAGTGTTTATTTACTAATAACAGTTTTAGAGAATAGAAAAGAAAAAAATTGAAAATGTTGTGAAATATTCTAAAATGTTGGCTTGCAATCAATCACAATCAAAGATATCAAATAACGGCAATATTTAAACTATCTATTTAAATAAACTTACCCTTATCAAAAAGTCCAAAATTTGCTTTACTTTTTCACAAGCTTGTTTACTTTATGATATAACTAGCTGTTCCCCGCGACTTCGCCCACGTGCATTTTAGGGTTTAATCTTTTTGAGCGAAACACTAATTCTATTTCTAAAATAAAAATAGCTACATACCGGTGAAGTCTTGTCAAAATTGGTCCAGCCGTTTCCGGGATTATATAGCCGAAACAGTCAGACAGACAAAAGAAGTACCGTATAAACTTTTGTGTGCATAGAAGTAAAAAGTTATTATTTTGACATTACAAATAGAAATTTCAATTTCATTAATTTTTATAGATGTTAACACGCAAGAGTATAATAAGTATAGATTTTAAGCATTACGTAAATATTATGATCGCAACATGAATATGTTTCTGCCTAAAGTGCTTAATAGAATCGGGACTTAGATTGCGTAAATCTATTAAATTATAGATGTTAAAAATAATTCAGCTAATAAAAGTAAATACAAAATTACGTGTTATCTAGTTTAAAGGAAACTCCCGCCCTCCCTAGTTTGCGTGCACTATCCCCGTCAAAATTTGGTTCTGGATTTAGTGGTGACGCAGGTAGTGCCTGCAATTTTTACGCTTATTTTAACTAATTAATTTTTAATATCTTTAGCCAAAGGTTCTGTCAATCTGGGTGGTCCCTCGTCTGGCCAGATTGATGTCATCTAGATTTAAGTAGTGATTACGCATTGAATAATGTATATGTGTAAGTCGCTAACGAGACCCAGTGCGGCGCGGCGTTACAGTATATTATGTTTTGTGTATCCAAAAAATAAAAATGTTATATATCATCAATACACAATTTTACTTGTTTTCTTTGAATCAACTTTTTATGACTGTATTATTAATGGTTCTTAAACTTTCATAGCATATAGTGCGCTTTATGTTTAATACGTTAACATATTTTTGTTTATCACTATTCTAAAATAAATTGATTGAAATCAATACGCAACCCATACACAACACCGTGTAGTGACGGTGTGAGAATATTCACTGCGAAATACCATCCCGTGGGTGTCGTAAGAGGAAATAGAGGGGAACAAATCGGGAGATGGGCAGCAGCCACCAAAAAAAGGCTAAAAAAAACTGCAGTTATCAATCCGCTTGCCAAGCGTGGCTACTGTGGAAATTATCCCCCCCCCCCCGCCGCAATGTTCAGCTGTGGACTATAACAGGCTGTAACGTTAAAAGCAACAATACACAACAAACACAAACGATAACACATAACATAAACACTCACGTAGTCACCCAGAGGGGTAAGGCAGAGACTACAGATTTCCATTTGGCACGATCCTGACACACCTCGCTCGCCTCCTTCACATCCATACACCTACGCATACATGCTCGTCGGTTAAGGGTTTTCAATAAATCGCCAATTTGGTCGATAAATTTTCGCCTAGGACGTCCCTTTCCGACTCTGCCATTCACTTCTGCAACATAAATTTTCTTTGTCACTCTTGCCTCATTCATTCTTTCCACATGACCAAACCACCGAAGCATTCCTTTCTTAATCCTGGTCACAACATCATCTTGCAAACCACACTCTTCTCTTATTACACAATTTCTTACCCTGTCATTCAGATTCAGCCCTAACATACTCCTTAACGACCGCATTTCTACTGCGTTCATTCTACTCTCGTGCTTCTTCTGCCACACACAACTTTCACTACGTTAAAGTAGGGACCAACACAGCATTGTGAATTGCCATACGTGCCTTTTTCGGCACATTTTGACTCTTCACAATAGAATGCAGGGCCCCATTTACTCTATTTCCCGCATTCATTCGTCGTTCTATATCTTTATCATATATCCCATCCCTGCTAAATACGCAGCCCAAATATACAAACTCATCTACTTGCTCGATCGACTCCCCTTCTATTCTTATTTCACAAATCGTTTTACTTTCTTCTCTTTCAAAAACCATTCTTCAATAAAACATTTTTTTAATTATTAATTTTAAAACAAGTCTTATGGCTATATTATGTTATATTTGGTATTATGCACATCTTGACCTGCAATTGCGTCATCACTAGCAGAAGTCTGCGCTGCGCAGGTACGTCTTAGCGCTGCCTCCGATACCTTTTTTAGAACTTCTAGTATGTTGCAAAAGATTATAGTATTTTATTCTCTCGTTCGTATGTTTTTTAATTCTGTTTAATTTTCGCAGTAATTTATTCGCCTACTGGCATTGAATATAGATAGCTTTCGTGTAACGTTCGCTAATGGGTTTGACTTCTGTTGCAGGCTTCGTGTCGTGCTCGCCGTCGCCATGCAAGAACGGCGGAACCTGCCTATCCACGCCGAGGGGGGAGTACTTCTGCAAGTAAGTGAACTCTTTGTTCGTTGCCTCCTTAACAATGTAACTGATGCCCCGTCGCCTTTGTCTACTTAATTGATTTGTTTTTAATATCTCTCAGTCACGAATGTGTTGACTTATAGCACCAGGCTCAAAACGGATGTCTAATTGCATTCGGCCTTTATGGGACTGATTGAAATAAATGAATATGTAAGCGATTGAGGAATTATATGTAATGAATTTAAAGGAGACTGTACTCAGTAAAGATAGAGCCTTAAGTAGCACCACTGCTGGGCACAGGCCCTCTCTTCGACTATACATGTCTTCGAATTACGTAATTTGTTTTTTAAAATTACTTAAACATACAGGTTTACTTCACGGTGAGTGCGTAGCCTTCATTACTTGTAGTTTCTCATTTAATATAGACTTAAAGGGAGACGACGATTTTAAAGAAGTATTTTTAGTGTAATATTATTTATTCTTAATTTAAACTATAATGGTTTTAATATATGCTAAGTTTTCAACATTAATTATCACCTGGGGTCGACTGGCAGACAATGCCAGAAGTTAATATGTACCTTCAGCTTGAAGGTGTTATATTTAAGTTAAAAAAATAATAATTTAGGAACATACACGTCTTTTTTTAACTTTTTTAAGATCTTTAAACGTAATGGATATTTTTAAGACATCTTCAGCGACGAAGCTGATTTTTTAAAATGACATGAATTTTTCTAATTTCGATCGGGAATTGAATCGAACGCTCAACGTCGCATTACCAAGCCATCTACAGATACAACATGTTTGTCATTTTAGACTGAGCTGACACAGATTATAACTGAATGCGTGTGATTACATATTACACAATAAACACTTAAATTCAGCTGCGGTACTAACACAAGGTTACTATTACCATGTTTAAATATTTTATTTAGCAAAAACTGTATAAAAGGTGATAATAACTCCTGGGAATGAGTTTGTATCTTCTAAGCTGTGTCTGAAATAAATTTTGTAAATAGACACTACAACCTTTCATATTGTATAATTTAATTTAAAAATAAGTCCCGCTGGGTTTCTTGCTGGTTCTTTCCAGGAGAGGTTTTAGAGGTTAAAAATTATTCTATTCTAGTCTCGGGCTTTCTATTAGAGTTTCTCTGGAAGTTCCAATGCGGACTATACGAGTAACTATAGAAGGTAAGCTGTTGTAGGCGGTTGGAATTTTTATATGTTGCTAGCGCTTTCTTTCCTATCGGGCCGCTTATCCTCGACTTGTCTAGCGGTAGTCTAAGGAGATCTTCAGGTCCTTTGTGACGTGATATATTACCGAATGTTCGTTTACTCCCTATTCAATAAAAAATCAAAGGCCATCTAATTCACAAATGTACTATTATTTCTATAATATAAATTCGTACTTTATAGTGCTCCTCAGTATAGTTGCTATAAAGTGCCCTATAGATAAGCCACATGTTGCTTCTATCATGCCCATATCGCCCCGGTGCGTAACGAATTAACGCCGATCCACTACGTATTGTTGGACAGATGTGTAGCAAAGCAACCCTTCGCTGTGCTTCTAACTTGAGCAGAATTTTGATCTTTATTTTTAAAGAATTTAATTACATATTGCTTTGTAATACCAATTGTGCCTAGCTGACTCATCGAGCGCTCCTTAATTGCAATAATATGTATAAAAAATTCGAATGTCTGCATTAACAATCCATTGTTAATGTATCCGAGTATGTGAATTAATATACAAAATGCCGAATTCATTTTATAAGACCGTTTTATTTTACAATCCTCTAGACTATTTGACTTAATTGTCTTAAATTTTTTCTTTAATACGCTCTTTGTTATATTTATAATTAATATTATAAAAATATAAAAAAGTAAATCTTCATGTATTTAAATAAATAAATTTTAACCTTTGATATTTTGAGAAGTCTCGTTCCTAAATATTTGGAGGTTTTTGTTTATCAAAATTACATTTTGAATAAAACTATTATTTACGGATTTTATCGCGTTTAATTACTTTAATTTATTTTTATTATTATCCCGACGTTTCGGGTGCTTTACAGCACCCATGGTCACGGGGGGGGGGGACTGAGATGTTTGATGTCCCAATGTCATAGTTAGTCCGGCTACCTTCAGTTTTTTTTAATATTAATTTTTGGTCCGATTTACGCAAAACGAGCTTATAGTTTCAGTAGTAATTAAACGCGATAAAATCCGTAAATAATAGTTTTATTCAATGTGTAGTGTTCGCGTAAATTTAAGAAATCATTAAAATTACATTTAATAAAAAAAAATGAAAACGCTCATAAGTCGTGCACTCTTGGATTTTCTAAACTATGTTTCATAAATATTTACTAAAATACTAAATCCCACTCTACATTTAAGTAGTTCTCACTCACAAGCATCTCACTAATCACTATGCATTTGCTTCCCACTGAACAGTTTACAAAGAAGGATATAATAATGGCATCGGTGGCGCAGAATCCTTTGTTTTCCACATTCGTGGTGCTCATTAAAATCGTTAGCTGTTTTTGGACGCATCCCAATAAGGAGGTGAGAATGAACTTGTAGACAGCGCACAGACAGGGTCCAAGTTCTGCTGCTCTGTTAGGCATTCGTTGTTATTTTTCCTCATACGTAGATAATTAAATGAAATAAGATAAAACTGTTCGCTGGGATCGCTGTATGTTACCATCGTAGCGATATTAACTTTAAGGACTGTTTTGAATAGCTTATGCAAATTTAATAATCATTATTGTAAAGGTTTATAAAAAAAAAGATCTAAAAAGAATAAGATATTTTCACGTTCTGAAGTTGAATGCTAAATTACTTTTTTAATATTTTATATGATTTTATTATAAATATTTGCCACTGTAATAGCCGATTTACACTTCGACAAGTACAGTAGCGAGTTTAGTTAGGCAGTAGACAAGTTAAGTGAACATTAGCAAATGTCTTCGTGGCGTCTTCACACGAGCACGGCAACACTTTGCACTTAACTCGCCGAAAAATGACCCGGCCGGCTATTCCGTTCAACTTAATTGTTAACTTGCTACCGAGATTTTCTACTTACCTCGCCAAGTTCGCAAGTTAACTCGCTACTGTACAAGTCGAAGTGTAAATCGGCCGTTAGGGGTGGAATTTTTCCCTAAAGCGCAAGCTCCACAATTTATTTTTTAGTGTAGAGTTGAGGAATTTTTATAGGCCTTCAAATTATTATCTATTTTTAACCGACCTCAAAAACGAGGAGGTACTGAATTCGACAGTTTGCTTTTATTTGTGTTACTTCAGAACCTCATTTTATTTATATTGAAGTCGGTTTAAAAAAATTAATGTTACCACTTGTACAACAGCTGGTCATTACATTAACATTTGAGAGAGATTAACAACATTAGAAATGCGTTAAGTTCTTCTTCGCGTTTTTTTTTCTATAACTTAAGAAACTTAAGAAAATGGTGCTTTGTTATATCTTCGTCAGTTTGGAACCGATTATAACGAATATTTCTTTACTTAATCGGTTTTAATAGGTGTTTTTCCGGAAATTTATATGGGACGATTAAATAAGATTCTTACGCATAAAAAAGTCCTACCACTTATAAAACCTACTACGTCTATAAAACCGAGATAAGGCAACAATATGGAAAAACGACGATTCCTGATATTGATTACATTTTATAAAAATCGATAAAAACCAAGTTAAGATCAGTCATTACAAAGCTCTACACAAAAAGCGCTTAACTGGCAATAAAGCATTCTACAAATCGACTCGCAGCGAACGTGACTTGTCAACCATGTCATACATACACCGCGGCATTCATACATACATTCATGCAATTTGAAGAGGACCTTAATGTTATGTTATCACAGTCCACTTTATAACGATTTATTGTTTATTATTGGTGATTCAGATGACTCATTAGTAGTCTTCTCTGTTGCAATGTCCCGTGCAGCGATTCTAGTTTTGTATCGATTTGTACACAGTTCGATACATCGATAATGAATTAGGAAGATACAAGAAATATCAGGCTTGTCACCTTTGAACTAGTTTATCGACTTTTTCTTTTACTGTTAATAATTTTCACTACAATTGCAATTTAGATTCGTAACATTAAACAGTTTTGTATTGTATAAAAATATATTATATTATAATTGTAATATCTTAACAAGCTAGATTGCCATTTTTAATAACTGCATTAGATACATCTTTGCACTTCGTGAATACCCCAATATGGCTCTCGTTTTAAATAGCTTAACAATAAAAAAGATGTAGAGTGATTGGCATCATTACTCTTGGCAGATGAATTGACAATCGTAAAATCAGATATCTTGACTGCTTCGTTGGTCTAGTGGTTGTAGTACCGCGACTGCTGAATATGAGGTCCTGGGTTCCAATCCCGGTACGGGCAAAAAATCTGTTACTTAGTTTTCCGTCAAAAAATTTTCAGTAGCTGAGTCAGGAATTTGGCGATGTCTCACTCCCGTGCTTCGGAAAGCACGTAAAGCCGTTAGTCCTGCGTCTGATCTCTGTCCCGTCGTGTCGATTGACCGTCCCATCGGATTATGAGAGTGAGGGAACAGAGAGTGCACCTGTGCTGGCGCGTACACTTCGGCACTATAATCCTGTCCTGTGCCTATGGCTGGTCTCCGTTAAGGCGGGCTGCCGTGAACTAAATTCAGTCTGGAGCACATCATTACCTTGCGCCCGTGATGCCTGTAGCCGGTCTGCGTATTTTACGTCAGGCTTAAACGAGATGGCTATACCTTTCACTCCAAGATAAATATCTAGTAAACTTTTAACTTTATTTCTTAATAAAAATTGTGCAATTTGAACTTCCGAAAGCCGGTAAAATCCATTTAGAAATTGTTTGCTAGTGACCAAATATTTGTGTAAATTTTCGAACATTACAATTGAATACTATTTTAGGAAATTCGAGTTTAAGCTGGATAGATGTAGTAAAACAGTTCAAATATTTGTGGTTTTGAAAGCATCAGATGAAGCGATAAAGCTTAGATGAGACCGC